TTAGACGGCATGTCCGAATTGGTTGTAAGCGAAATTTAAGCGAAGAAAGCAAATTAAACGGCTACGGTCTCGTCAGCAAACTTCTTTCAGTTACAAATAAATATTTAAAAAATAAATATTAATCCTCATCCAAAACGTAATAGATGGTATTAACAAAATATTATGTTAACACTGCCAAAACTACCGAAGTTCCATATATGTATATATATATATATATATATATATATATACCTTACTTCTATAAAAATGAGCCAATTTGACCAATCCATAATTTTTGTAAAATCCTCGCAATCACAAAAATGAAGATCGAGAGAAAGTTGAAATCGGACCGGGCAGTCGTGTAAAAAAATTAATTAACTTCAAAGTGACGTGTAAAGTGCAAAAAAAATTTAAATATTTTCCAAAAAAATAGTCAATTTTTCTTACAGAAAAAAAAAAAAAGAAGATTATAATTAGTGTATGAAAATGAAAATTCAGTCCGCAAGTGAAATTATTAACTGAATAATGCAATACTCTGTTCAAGTTGAAGTACAACGATATAAAGACAGAAGTGATCATAAGACTCGGATATACCCCATAGTATACCAAGTCGCCAATAAAATCAAAATAAAAATTAAACAAAAATTTGTCTTTTTTAGATTCGCATCAGAATAAAAAATTCATGTGTATTTGTTCTTATTGGTGAAGCGGGTAAAAAAAGATCGTTTGAAAAAAATGTATTTTGGAAAGTACTTCGGAAAAACTACTAGACAGCAGATATTCATTACAATTATCATCACCTGCCTGTCCGGTTTGAAAACAGTATACACCCATTTTGCTAAAGATAGGTACACACATGTGTCATCACATCTCGAAAAATCGCTTATCAATATATTTAATACTTTTCTTACACGGTGTTTCTTTTCATTTGATACTTTGAAATAACACAGTTCACCAATAAAAATAAAGAGAATTTGTTGCACAAATTTTTTATTCTGGCACGAATCCCAATATTTTTTTTTTCTAAATTTAAATTTCTGCATTAATTTTAAATCATTATTGTAATGAAAATAAATTTTTTTTTGTTTTCGTTTTATAAAATGTAATATGGATTACATTATTAGTTTTTTATGGTCTCTCTGGGAAAATACGTGGAATTTTTCATCTTACACGAAGTTTTAAAGTTGTGGAACAAGTGTTGTGCATTTTTTTACGTGATTTTTATTGCACGGATTTCTAAGGGACGAATCTACCCTGTAAAAAAAGCAATTGTGTAATATGAGTTCCGATATTATTTTTTTTGCACGGTTGCGCAACATAACCTCAAATTTGCCATAATTTTTTTTTTTTGAACGGTTTCCTAAGGATCGTATCTATTGTGTAAGAAAAAAGTAGTAGGATGTACACAAAAAGTCGCCAGCATAACCACTTTTTTTTTTAATGCCAAATTGACGCGCGCGGTAGTTCCATCGTTAATTGGCCGAGGCGGATCAGCTAGTCGAACGATATCAATATTAGAAGATGCTACCATGAATATCTTTTATAGACTATAATTTGCAACTTGTTTACTGGCTAATCTTTCGCATTTTCATAATTGACATACGAAGTGTCATCGTTCTGTTTCGCGTTTCGCGGCTATGAATAATCATATAAATCTAAATTTTAAAATTGCATACTCATCAAGAAGCTGTATATACTTTGTAAGATCTTTGATACGCATTGCTAAATGTTTCCCAAACAGAAAAAAAAAATTTAAGTGAAATGTAAAAAAAATCTTTTAAAAATTTTGAATAATAAAAAATCATATTTAAAAAATTATTAATAACAAGTGACTTTCTTTTTTACTTATACGACTAATAAACAATCTTACAAGAGACGATGCAGTAATAGAAAATACGTGTAGATGGTGTCTTTAAAAGAATTAAGAGAAAGAGTAAAGTGAGGTTATGATGAAAAAATTAAAGGAGAGTTAAGCGTTAAGAATAATTTTTGTTTTGAAAAACGAATGTTTAGGTGAATGTAAAAATGTAGAATATTATTAAAGTGAAATAATTAATAAATTTGAGTTAAGAAAAGTATTAAATGTTATGAGAAATACATATTAATTCACAATTGTTTGCTAAAGCACCCGCAAAAGAAAGAAGGAACTCATCGATATCGTAGGGAACAGTATAAGAGAAAATTGTCCACTTCCTCTGATTTATGTTCAGCGCGCCTGTTTGTTAACCAATCAAAATTTGCTTTTATTTCGAATATCTACTTAAAGATGCGATAAAATTTTGATTAACAACAAGTCGGAAAACATAAATTATTAGAAAAAATATTTTAAAACTTTTAGTTTTTAAACTTTCATTTGTCAAAATCAAGGCAAATTATAATTTAATTTTTTTTTTTTATTATTATACCCTGCGCCACTGGGACGGACTATAAGGAGGGTATATTAAAATTGTGCGGATGTATGAAACATCGAAAAGGCCTGGAATCAGACCCACCTTTTTTTAAATCCGCATGTCCGGCCTTGTCGTGTACTTTTGTTCAACCTAAACAAACGGTCTTGAATAAGGTTCGGATAGGAGCACTTTTTCGACCACTTCCCAGTTTAATGACCACTCAAAAAAAGAGACATTTAATAACGATATTGACTGTAGTGTGGGATATTTACCAACGGGCCGTATCCCACTATATTGTCTTCAATTTATATTTTTTTTGTGAAAATTCCAATAGCTAGCAGACCGACAATAAAAATTGCTTTTAAGTCGGTCAAAACTTTTGAAAGCTTTTAATATTACCTAAAGGTTTTTTTTAAAGAAGTTCTAATAAAGTGAGTAAATGTACGCGACGTGCATGAAAAAATAGATGACTTTTTAAACTTCGTAGACTACGTGCATTCGATTTTCGAATTTTTTATTTTTTTTGTTATGTTGATACACATATGTTGACATTATCAGCCATTGTGCATTTTTAATTCGTTTCTGGCAGATAATAGACGTGTTGGCTTTTGGATTTTATTTTTATCGCTATCGAGGAAAACGGATCAAAGGCCGTGTATTAAGTTTTTTGCGAAAAGTAAAATTAAGAGCTCCATCTTACTTAAAATGTTAGCTGTAGCATTTGATGAGTCTACTTTAAGCAAAAAAAAAAAAAAAAAGGTTTGCAAGTGGTACCAGCTCTGCACACAAGGCCGAGAAAATGTTAATGACGATGAAAGCATTGAAGGAGTTAAAAGAGCTGTTACGGTAAATGGTCGTGCGGTCAGTAAGGAAGGAATAGTACCTTGCAGTTATGCGCTGTTTGCAAGAAGCAATGCGAAAGAAATGCCCGGAATGGCGTAATAAACACTCACGATAACACCACGCCGGCCCTTACGCCATTACTTGTTTGCAATTTTTTAGCCAAAAACCAGATCGTAAACGTACCTCAGCCATCGTATTCACCGGACTTGGCCACCTTGTGACTTTTTCCTGCTGCCAAAATTGAAAAGACGCATGGAAGAACGGAATTGTGCCATGATTAAGGACACAAAGACTGCATCGCTGGAAGAGGTCAAGGCGATACCAAAAAGCGCCTATCACCAATGCTTCGAGGATTGAAAAAATAACGCCGGCCCAAGTGTTTTATATCTAAGGGAGATTACTTTAAAGGCAATAAAATAGATATTGATGAATAAATATTTTTCGTTAAGAATGAAGTCACTATTTTTTTTTTAACACGCCACCTATATGTACATCGAGACACTGCGCTTATTTAAACAGCAGGTCACAATATCACAATCGGCCGTCGGATTGACGCAAACCCAATATGAAGACCACATTTATAGAGAATTATACTCAATAGGTAAAGGGGGAGATTGCCAAGAAAGAGAAGCGGTCAGAAGATGTCAGTTAACAGATACTTTTCAAAATAACATTTTGTTATTCATAAAATAATTTCAGGTTTCATCTGAACGTACGACATAGATTGGCGGACACGAGATCAAATCAAATCGATCTCATTATGACTAATGTGACCTCTATACTCAATAATGAGGTCTCCCCGCTAAGCTTATTTTTGTGTTTTACAAGTCCAATAGGTAAAGTTTTGTGCTTCAAAGGAAATAAACGGTTATAGAAGATAATTTCATCATTAATGTTTCGGGGACGCATGTATGCACGTATGTATGTACGTAAGCCCGCTAGCAAGGTTATTATTATTATTAACATTGAAAACATTGAAATGTTAAATAAAAAGTAAAATGAAGTAAAATGGAAATGAAAGTGAGTTTAAGTATTATATACAAGAATCCTTTAAATGACTAATTAATAGTGTGTTGTTGATGATTCTGTTGGACCGAGTGCCCAACGGGTGGAGCCCAACGGGTAAGTGTTAATGGTGAAAAAGAAGAGAAAAAATAAATATAAATTAATTTATAAATATAAAAGAAAAATTACGCTATATTTACGGCTCTACACAAAGACCTGTATATCTGAACCCAAACATAGAAAATTTCATGGCCACAATTGTGTTAAAAACAACAGACGTCCACGCCGTCACAAAAAAACCTCAGTTGTGGCTTTTAGTTGTTGTTGTTGTTGTTGTTGCTGTTATTTTTGTTGAGTTGGATGTTATTAAAAACGTTGTTTTTTTTTTCATTACAGTTTAATATTATTAATATATATATATTTGCATATGTATGCGTATGTGTGTGTGTGTGTGTATGTGTGTGTGTGTGTGTGTGTAAAGAATTCATAATATTAGTTAAATTAATTAATTGTTTAAAGATAGAAAATACATACGAAATAAACAAAAAAAAAATGACATGATCATTTATCTTTAGAAAAAAAAAAAAAAAAGAAATAGAAGAAAACAATAAAGAAAGAAAAACATATATGAAAAGAATTATTCCCGCGATTCTTCTTCGATACTGCTGCGCGTAAATAATTACTTCTAATGAACAATTTAAATAAATAAGAATCGTTTTTCGTGTTCAATTTAAAAAAAAAATTCAAACATTAAACAGAAAAAATTTAAATAATTGTGGAAATTGTATTAGTTGTAGTTGTTGTTGTTGTTGTTGTTGCTATTGTTGATTTTTGTTGTTGAAATTCTTATTATCATTATCTTAGAAGTAGTAGAGTAGTTGTAAAGAAACAGTTTTGAACGAAGCCTACATAGTGCCGTAACCAGGATAGGCGGCGGTTATATTTGGCGCATAAACGGGTGTTGCGGAAGCTGCTGCAGCAGCAGCGGCTGCAGCCGCATAATTTTGAGCATACTGTGGCGGTATACCCATGGCAGGCCCCGCTGTTATCATAAGCTGTGGTTCCATGGTTATAATATTCTTATGTTCGACCGTTTCATCTTCTTTCTCCCGTCTGGCTTCATTCTGTTCAAGTTTATCCACTTTGCTGGTGTATTCGCGTATAACCTGCAAATTCATATAAAATATTCAGCAAATGAATGAATGAATGAAATAATCACATTAACCTACTTGTATCATATAAGGCATGGCAAAGTCCATAATATTGTGTTTCCAAGCCAATTCCAATATAACATCAGGTCGCAACAAATCGTAGCACTGAAATGGAAAATTAGAAATATAAATGAAATTATCTCTCGCAATCAAATTCACCCCCCGATTTATATATTCATATATAATGGCTGCAAAGATCGAATTGTAGTACGTCACGTACGTACGTATCACGATTTCTTCGTGAAGAAATCTTTGCCTCACTTTCTCGTTTTAAGAATGCATTTAATATTCGACCGAGTTACAGTTTTTATTATGCTGCTCTTAAATTGAGTATGAAGACTTACAAATTTTAAAATAATAGATAGCTTCATCATTAAAGGTGCGAGAATTTGCCTTCGCTTATTTTCCACTATCCCAAAAATATATTGTTTTTCCTTTTACTTACCTGAAATAAACAAGCGGCAAAGCAATCGTAGGCATTACGCTCCAAAAACCATGCCAACAACTCTTCGGCAATCTCTTGTTTACCAGATTCGGCGGCATATTCCATTGCATCTTTATATAAGCGATCTTTTTTGCATAGCTCCACACTTTGCTTCCAACGATTGTTGCCTAGCGAATCAATTAACAAAATGAAAGCTATTAGCACTGCTCTCGCTCTGCTTTCGTTTATCGACTTACCTTTATACAAATAGGCAGCAATCCGCCGAAATTCAGTTAATTCATGTTTCTCCAATTTCTGTGCCAAGGCAATAGTATCGAAATTATCAAAGCCATCTATAGAATTGCGTAATCCTTGATAATCTTCTTCTTCAATTAACAAACCATTCAGAGCTTCATTAATGGCTTTATTATTCAGTGATTGCACGGATCGTAAATATGGTTTAACTAATGCCAAATGACCTGTTTTTGCAAAGAAGCCGACAGCTCGAGTGTGATCCATGCGCGGTGCTAGTACTAATAAGATATCGTTGAGCAACAAGGGCTTATAATCTAAATAGAATTGTATCGCTTTGTAGTAGAGTTCAATGTTGGCGACCTTTGTGATAATATCTTTGAAGTGACCCTCACGCCAGGCTTCGGTGGGATGAGCCATCATAGCCAGTACAGCGTTATCGTACTCCTCGTACTTATCATAAAGGAACACCAACTCTGACCAGAGATGAGCTGATTCGGCAGCTCGCAACACCTTCGGTATATTGACACGGGACCAAAACAGCTCAAGGTGCTCCCGCATTTTAGAAGGCTTGAATTTCGAATAAAGAATGGCCAGTTCAGTAAACATGCCCATGTGAGCGCGTTCCAAGCCTAAAGCGGATTCTAGTAAAGCAATGAGCTCTTCAAAATAGCCGCGATCCTGATAATAGTTGATCAGATCTTCCAATTCATCGGCATGCACCACAATGTGTAAACCGCACATCTGAGCCAAACGAAATTCCTCGGCATCGACACAGGCAAAACACACCTCCTTCCAAGTGCGAGTCGAATTAGCTTTCCGAGCCGAATCTACAGCACCTTGGAATTCTTTCAAATACACCAACGTAATGGCCAAACGGGCAAAGTTGCTAACATTATTGTATAACAATTTAGCGGCATCGTACATGCCATCGTTGAAGCAACGATCTCCAATTTTTTGTATGTCTGCATGATTAGGACCAGAAATAAATTCTTCGAGATCAGCTAAACGACCAGTCCGAGCATAGGCATAAATTAATTCACTTTCAATATAAGACTCACGAGCCTTCTTGCGAGCCATTTGTAGATAACGCACTAAATCCTCCCAAGAATCGGCTTGGGAAGCAACACTGACCACATCCATATAGGCGCTGGGATCGTCGGCCTTAATATACGAATCGATGGCCTCTTTAACCAAACCCTTTTCCAATTGTGCTTTAGCCAATTGCGACCAAACGGCCGGCTCATTGCAACGCTCGGCAAATTCATAAGCCCGCTCCAAATTATTGACTTGTTCGATAAGCACTTGTATGGCTGAAGTGTTGACGTCAAATTTCTTAAAAATTGCAAAAGCCTCTTCATATAATTGGTTCGAAATGGCTATATTTGCTATGTCAGGGGCATCATAATTGTCCAGACGATTGATATAATCCATTACCCTTGTGCGATCAGCTTTAATGGCTGTCAATATCAAAAGATTTTGCAAATTACGATGATCCGAAAAGACTGATGAATCTAAAATGATTTTCTCCAACAACTCAATAAGCTCGTTGGGTAAATCAGCAGTCATAAAGGCCTTAACCGTTACTGAGATATCATCGGGATCTTGGGTCTCTGATAGGGCGGTTTGTACCACTTGATCAATGAGTTGACGTTTGTAAGGATTAGCTTCAGAGAGAACTTCAGCCCATAATTCGGGATCACGTCTTCTTACCAGGTAACGAGCTTCACTTTTAAACAATGAATTTTCATTGCAAACGGCTATTAGCTCACGATCGCACTGACCTCTTTCATAAGCCACACAAGCCAAATGTGGATCACGTTTCTCACAATAACGACCTACAACACGACTATCGTAATATTGGTTCTCTTTAAGGAAACGTTCTGGATTGTTATTCGAGTCAATGTAAATTTTCGCCAGAGCGTTATGAGTGGCTGGCTCAATACAGCCCTCATGGACACGTGATTCCAACCATGGTAGCAAGAGCTTTAAACGATTCCGTTTTTCCACTTCCTCAACCAGCTCATCCGTTGAAAATTGTCCCTTCACCACTAAAATCAAGTTCTTAATAATATCCTCCGAGCAATCGACATCCAGTAAACCACCCACAACCACCGGTAAACGTGAGGGATTAACTTTTTGTACATAAATCTCAATATATTTTTGCAAATTGTTACGATACAAATATAAGACTAAATCATGGACAAAATCGAATCTATCGCAGACAATAATCAAGGGCAATTGATCAGTTAATTTGGCTTCCTTTAGAAAATTTTTAACTCTCTCCGGGTTGTAGCAATTTGATTCGCGACATATGCGCTCTACTTCTTTGATTTGGCTGCTTTTACATGCTGCCTGGATATACTTGAAGTGAACTTCAGGATCCTGCGAATAGTTGACAATAGAACCTAAGAAGTAGAATAGACCTTCGTATGACTTAAAACTCTCGAAGAGATCGATCAAGGCTTTGGTAGTTAATTGTTCGTGATATTTGGTAGCGATTTGTACACAAATTTGTAAATTCTGACGTATATTTGCCGTAAGCATTGCCTTCAAGCATTCTAGAGAATCCTCGACTGATAAAGTACCAAAGAATCCCACCAGCCAATCGGCATTCAGGAGATGAGTATGTACCACGGCCCGCTTGATATCATACAAATCAGTATAGTGTTCGAGAGCACGTTGAAGTAAGCCAGCCTTCTCACATAATTGGGCGATGTGAGCGCGATCGTAATGAGTAAACATAGCGTTACCTAATATAGCATCAGCAACTTGGGGAGCTGAAATTAGATTCATTTCGAGTAAACGAGTTTGCAGAGCTCCTTCGTTCGGGCGATTGTGCTTTAGGGCGTCTAGAAGGAATGCAGTGCACTGCTGGACCATGGAATGTTCCATGAAAATATCAACGATTTGATTAATATCCGCTAATGGTTCTTCTTCAGCCACTAGCATTGAAGCAAAACTGGCTCCCTGTTCAGGATTAGTACGCATTACCGATCTTAACAAAAATATGTAATCTGGTGTATAGTTGACTTTTTTAGCGTATAATACAATTTTCTGAAACTGCCCAGTCTCCGCAAAGCATTGAATAACCTTATTCGGTACGTTGGCTCTCAAATAAATTGACAAGGCCAATGTAAGATCGGATGTTTTTACCAGATCTCCCAATTCTTCGCTACATTCCAATTTCTCTTCTTTTAACCATTTCTCGCATAACTGCTTCTTACCTTGCAATAACACCGGTCGACACAATTCCAAACTTTCGAATTTATTCAATTTACCCTGATCTAAGAGTATGCCAAAGTATTGTAACAATGGCGGTGTCGAAGATCCCGCAGGTGTCTGCACTTGTTGAAAACGTTGAATAGTTTGTGGAGTACGCAAAATGCCCTTAGGCGCCAACGCGGCCACTTTCGCAGCTTCAGCATATTGACCGGCCATGAACAATTTGTTGAATTTGCGCACAAACAATTCTTCCGCACCAGATAAATTATTACGTACTGCCATACGTAAAGCCAAATCGGGATTTTGTAGAACGGTATTAATATATGGAATAATTTGTTCCTCATCTACTGTTACCGATAGCACTTGACCTTTTCTATTTACCCCAATTATGCCGCCGCTAGATTCATGGGGAGCGGTCACGAAAATCGTATCGGCTGATATGCGATTCATATAAATGCAAGTGCCCGTTTCCATATCGTATAGATGAATGTAACCATATTTGGTGATTAAATAAATTGTGTCATATTTGGAGGAAACTTGCATAGCAACCGGGAAATCGCTTTGAGCTTCTGGCGGAAAGAAAACGTCTACGGATTTCTTTACAAACGGTATATTACCGGTCGGTGATGTTCCCACTTCGATAATATGCAATTTACCGCCGGTAGCAGTGCGTACAGCAAAACAAAAAAGCGTCGACGGTTCTTTGTTACCCTCCATTTTGAACGAAGCAAAGGCAGCGGCGTGACCTAAAAGGTAACAAATGTATGAATTTATGAAGAAAACTATAGAAATATAGAAATCGAAATGGGCGTTATAGAAGTGCCTGCATCTAAGATGCTGCAGGTTATCGAACAATTTCCAATAAATTTCGTATCGAAAGCATTAATTAATGTTATTAGAATATACGGACCAAAACATGATGATGATGCGTCATGGCACGGGAAAATGGAATAATTAGATTTGATATATAATTTTTTTATATTTTTAGGAGAGCCGATAGCCTGTGTTGCTAGTGCTTAATGTCTTTTTTTAGTCTATTCATTCATTTCATTAGTCTAAAATTAAAATAATAATAATATATTTTTAGGACATTTTAATCTATATTTTAATCTTCTAATCGTTTCTTCTCCTTTGCTATGCACAATTATTAAAAGCAAGTGTGATTTGTTTCCTGGCATTAGAATTCAGGAAAGTTTCCGACTAATGAAATAGATAAACTGATCGCGTCTAAACTCAACCATAATTTCACTTTCCTATTATAGATCCGTTTTAACAGATCTGCAGTGCAGTAGTCGTAGCTTTAATTTCACTTTAATGTCGAAAAATATATATATAGGAAACCCGAAGTATACATTCGTTTACTTACCTTCAATAGCTTGCGATACTTTACGTTCTACCGAATACAATTGCATAGCGCCGGCCACACGATTCGGTAAAGCTGAAATGCCAACCAACAGTAACCATTGTTGATTCGGATTGCAGCGGTAATTAATAATTTGGCAACCATTCAATGATGAGTGTCTATCGAACATTTTCACCGGCGTTGAATCACCTTCCATTGACCAATGATATACTGAAGTTTCTGTCACTAAAGCCAACGTGTTCAGGGATATCCATTTCCAAAAGACAACGTCCTCGCTCATCGTATGAGCTTTCATTTTCGATTTCATTTCAATATTGAAAATTTGCAAAGTTTTTTGAGCTAAAATAAGAATTTATAAGAACAAAAAAGTGAAACTACGATTAGATAAAAGTGATAACAGATATATAGGTATAGATATATATATATATATGGAATACCGACCTTTGAGAGCAATAACTTTGCTAGCTGGATTCATTATAGCCGAATCGGCAGATATTGGGCGTCTCGTCGGATTGCTGGTATCATTCATATCAATAATAACTACCTGGGCGGTATCATTGACCTTCTCGCGCACACAAATGAATTTATCAGACTCCATGGTAAGAGTGCTGAACGATATTGAATTAATGTTAATACCGACATTTGTGAGCTGTTGAAGACAAAAGAGAAGAAGATCGATTCAAAAATAAAAATAAAAAAAAAAAAACAATTAAAACTTATATTAAACATTTAAAATTTTCAAACAATGATATCGCGAATAAAAAGGAAATGAAAACGCAAAATCTGTAAACGCCCTAAACTCAGCAACACTTTCAACTAAGTCAATCAATCGAGACCGTATTATTCAGTCCAAGCTTTTAAATTGATTATTGATATGGAACATTAACTATTGATAACAAGTAAGACAATATAATTCGGTCGTGACCGAATCTTTTATACCCATCATCGGGTTATCCTAAAAAGGACAAAAAAAGTAAAAGAACACATTTTTCCCCCTCTATAATATGGAGTCGGGCACGATTAATTTTTCCTATTTTCAAAATAAAAGTTTGTGTCGCATAGGCGTGTGGATCTTGTAGGCGTGTCGTTTAAATAGCTTAGATCAGATACTATAAATAGTTGCACAGATGGACAGACGGACATGTTTAAGTGTATCCCAAATATGAAACTAACTAAGAGGTAGAAGAGGAATACTTTAGGGGGTTTTCAAAGTTTATTTTTGCGCATTACAAAGTTATTGAAAAAAAAAAAAACCAATTTTTATACATTACAATAATGCGTAGACCTGATCAATTTTTTCCAATTTTCTGCAGGAAACCCATACAAAATGCTTTGAAATTTTTATATAATTTATGAGTAATGAACAAAAAAACAGTTTTGTATTCCTTTTGAAAAGCAGAGATGTTCCTTCTTTACATAGTACTGTAGACCTGTCCTCTGAACGATCTGGCCCATTTTCAATACCAAAACTAATAAGTGCAACAACTTTACGTTACACAGATAGACAGATACGGCTTAATCGATTCAAAATTTCTGATACTGATCAAGAATATATATATACTTTGTGGGGTTGCTGAAGCTTCCTTTTGGGCGTTGTAAACGTTTTGACAAAATGAATATACCGCTCCTCCTCAGGTGATGGTAGAAACCATTCTGCATGTTGTGGCCAGTTACATTTAAGTTCGGATTCCAATCTTCATGGATGGCAAGGCAACATATGAGCAAATAATATAATACGTCACTCAATAAGTTGGCAGAATGACATATAAATATCGCCGCTATTGACGAAATCGTGTTGTTTTTAGATAGTACCAACTTTTAAACTAATTAGTTGATTAGCTACAGTTGTTTTACTAATCCCACTTTCTTGGTTGCCTTAGAAAGATTTCGCCGATTTGACTCTGCAATATAGTGATGTGTGTCCACTGTTCACCTATTGTCACATATCGAATGAAAAACGGTTGTTTTATTTCGCCCAAAACAATCGCCAAACTTTGCTTAAAATTATCACAAAGTTGTTCCCTTCGGAAAGGCCTTTCTCAAGGACAAATTTTCATCGTGCAAAATTATCGATGGGGCTTGCCTTTTGATATCTTTTGCTTAAAATCAGCAAGCCATTGACAAATTATTTTTGTTTTCGACGCAAAAGACATATCGTATCGTTTTTTAAGCAAACAAAGAATTAGAAAGATGACAATATGTAATGGCGATCGTAGGTCATCAAAAACCACCCGATAATCGGTAGACTAATGCTGTCTGAATGTCATGCAATTTTGACACGTATCGCTTGAAGATTAATACACGAACGAAAAATCTCATAAATGCCTGTCAGCAATGACGTTGCATATGTATTAGACCGGAGACTTATTGAATGATGCGTTATAATCTCGCAAATTTTAAAAAGTTGCACCTGGCGAACATAACTGAATTGATTGACAAAAAATGCAGGCTGTTGAAGGGGAGAGCGGCTCGTATGCATGCTCTTGCTACAAACGAAATAATATTTTCTCCACGCTCTCATGGTAGATATATGCTCATCTACATGTTTCAAAAAGAATCCCCAAAATAGAATGAGCTTCAATGTCCGACAGTTCAAGGTTAACTATAATAATCAAAATATTGTCGCAAAAATAAAAGGATAACGGGAAAATTAATAATTACAACAATTAATAATGTAAAATATTTGAATTAGAAACTGTTGCGTATACAAAGAAACACACACTCTTGTCTATCAGATATATCGTACTATTAGACATTCAGAAGCGACCAAAAGCTTTTTATTCTTATACTCATCACCGAAGAATGAGAGGTACAATCATTTCGTCAAAACGTTTGTAACGCCCAGAAGAAAGCTGCTTCAGCAGCATCACATTCTAAATCGATTTAAAATTGCTTGTCTGTCCGTCTATGTAATAACTATTGTAAACATTCTCCTGATCGCAAAAATTACGCAAACTATCGACTTCAAATTTAGCAGAAACAAGTGGAAATTCTTTCCCGCAGATTGGTATTAAAAATGGACCAAATCGTTTGGAGGACACACTCACAGCACCACGTAAACTGAGAATACCTGTATTTTTCAAATGGAATGAAAATCTGGCTTTTTGCTCACTAACTCATCAACTATAGCAAATAAATGTGCACAAATTTGAACAAAAATGGAAAAAAATGGACCAGACCTACCTAATATTATAGTGTATCAAAATTTACTTGTTTTTTCAATACCTTTATAGCGCGCCCAAACAAGCTTCAAAAACCCCAATATGGTATACAAATTCTTAGCCAGTTTCAATTCTTCAATGCACCTAAACATGTCCGCCAGTTCTTCTGTTCATCTGTCTGTTTGCGCAACTTTGTAATATTCGTTGTAAACATTTTCCCGTTAGCGAAAATGAATATATCGCCTAAAAATTTGCAAAAGAATTTGGAATTGACCTAAACGTTTCAAAGGACACGCCTACAACGTCCACATGCCTCTACGACAAAAACTTTTATTGTGAAAATAGAAGAAATTTACTGCACCCGCTCCATATTATAAAGCATGATTAAGAATTTGTTTCGTTTACTTCTTTTGTGTTTTTTTGTTGTTAACGGTGATGGGTGTAAAAGATTCGGTCTCAAACGAATTTAATTTTCTTACTTATCTCTTTCCTTTTCGTAGTATTCTTTTCTACACTATCTTCAAAAAGTATACTTATTAGAATAAATTTTAATACAATAAACGATAATAAGAAAATGTAAACTGGGGCTGCTTTTCCCCACCTCTTCTCTTTAAATGTCAGCAAAATTGATTTCTGCATTTTTGACATTATTATCTTAATTTCCCGATATTTTTTAATTGTTTTCCAAAAAAAGAAAAAAAAAGGTCTGTTCAATACAGAAGGACAAATCGCTATAAAGCCAAGCGTTTCTGCTGAACGACAAACCGAAAAAAAGGGAAGAATTTAGTTCGGCAAAGGAAGAAATCAATATAAAACAAGTAGGAAAGTTATATTCGATGGGGGCCGAGTCTCGTATATCCATCACTATGCTTTTCGCATTCTACTCTCCTAGTCCTCTTATTAGATACCCATACCCGCTGGTATTATTAAGAAAAAATTAATCGCGGTATCGACCATATTTATTTGAAAATTAAGCCATTTTCAGGTATATAACATATCTTCATTTGAGGAGAGCTCAATATAGCTTTAAACATTCGGTCTTGTTTGCCCTGCGCTAAATAAGCATTAAACCTCAAAAAATTGAAAAAAAAAATTAAATCTAATTACTCGTAACTTTATGTGGATATGGCCGATCGGTTCCACTTTTGAACTTAGAGAGTAAAGCAAATGTGAACAGTTTCAGCCTTCTAACTTTAATAATTTCCGAAAAAACTGAGTTGCCCTCAGTTTACGCTCCACTGAGTGCTTCCGGTCTGACCAATTTGATTCATTTTCAATACCCACCTACGTGCAGAAACTTCCAATGTTTTTACCAAATTTGATAT